ACCAGGACATTGACATTCATACAGTTTACCAATTTATTTAGATTCTCTCTGTTTTACTATTCATTGCTGTGTGTGTGTGTGTGTGTGTGTGTGTGTGTGTGTGTGTGTGTGTGTATTCACTCCCTATACACTTTATCACGTATGTTGTTTTTTGTGGTCACCACCAGAGTAAGCAGTACCAAACAGTTCTATCACCACCAGATTCCTCTCTGTTGCTCTTCTGGGTCCCTATCCATAATTCTTGGCAACCACTAATTTATTATTCATTTTTCAAATTTTGACATTTAAAAAATGTTATATAACCTTTTGCAATTGACTTTTTTTTTATTCAGCATAATTTTCTGGAGAATCATCCCAGTTTTGGCATACATCACTTAGTTTATTCCTTTTCACTGCTCAACATTCCATGGTACTTATATGACATAATTTTCCATTCATCACTTAAGGGATGTTTGGATTGTTTTTGTCATTTGGGTTACTGCAAATAAAGCTACTATGAACATTCTTGTAAAGGTCTTTATGTAAACATGAATTTTAATTTCTCTGAGGTAAATGCCCAAGAGTTCAGTTGCTTGATTGTATATTAATTATGTGTTTAGTTTTGTAAGAAATCTCCAAATTGATTTCTAGAGTGACTGTACCATTTTACATTCCTCTTCATCCTTGGTCCAGGATTTGATATCACTGTTATTTTTTATTTTTGTCATCAAATTATGATTTTAATCTAACATTTCCCTAATGGTTAATGATGCATTTACATTTTCATCTGTAAATCCTTTTCAATGAAATATCTGTTAATGTCTTTTGCCCATATTCTCATAGGATTACTTAAAAAAAATTGTGATGTTATGAGTGTTCTTTATGTTTAAGGTATTTTGTCAGATATGTGTATATATTTGCAAATATTTTAGTTTTCTTTTTTTTAAATATTTTTTTTAGTTGTAGGTGGACACAATACCTTTTTATTTTATTTATGTGGTGTTGAAGATTAAACCCAGAGCTTTACACATGCGAGATGAGTGCTCTACCACTGAGCCCCAGCGCCAGTGCATATTTTAGTTTTCTTCAGTGTCTTTTATAGAACAAAAGCTTTAATTTTGACAAAATTTGTTGTTTTTTTTTCACTTCTATGGAAAGCACAAAATACAAGGTGCTTTTGGTATCATTTCTAAGAAATAATCATCAAGCTCTAAGTTATAAAACTTTTCTCCTGCTTTATGCTTTTAAGTTTTACATTTAAGTCTGTAACCTATTTTGAATTAAGTTTTGTATAATAATATGAAGTTAGAGTCAAGCTTGATCTCTTTTGCCTTTGGATGTCCCATTACTCTAGCAATTTCCTTTAGTGAGTTGCTTTTGTACCTCTTTCAGTTGGCTGTACTTGTGTGGGTCCTTCTGAGTTCTCTATTCTGTTCCATTGCTCAATGTGTCTGTCCTTTGCCATTCTTAGGCTCTTGATTACTATAGCTAAATAGTATTAAAACTTTCAACATGTTAAATATGGCAGTTTATTTTAGCAAAGAAGGATTTATGAATTGGACAGTACTTAGAACCAGAAAAGGTTCAGAGAGCTGCGTTCTGCAATGTGGCCATGATTATTTTATAGAAAGAAATAGTATAGAAATAGCTTGATCAGTGAGAGTGCTGCCTTTGCCTTGTTTGGACATGGTCAGTGAGTTGACAGCCTGCAATTGGATGAGGTTTACTGCTTGTGATTGGCTGAAGTTCTTTGATTTTGTTAGGTTTTTAGTTTTGTTTTTTATATACGAAATCTAGCAGTTACTTTAAGTGGGAACTCACTGTAGGTGATAACCTCAGGCCATTGGCCTTGTGCTTATTTAACAATAGTAAGCTTTAACATTGTGGATAACATAAGGACCTTAGAGTGCTTGCATGTAATTTCCTTCTCTCTGATTTGTATAATATTCATTTTTAAAAATTGGTTCTTTTCTTGGTTTCTTTTTTTGCCATTCAGAAAGAATATAAAGGCAAATTCCAGAAGTCACTAGAGAATGTGACTTAAGTATTCCATACTTTTTTATATATTATCAAGTGTATAAATTTTTTAAAATTTGTGCTGCTTACTCCCTAAACTATAATTAAATTTTTTAGCCTTGGCAATATTAGTATCTAAAAAACAAGTAGATCAATGAATATATGTTATTCCAAAGTCTAACATCTTATTATTTTTTTTTAAATATTTTTTAGTTGTTGATCGCCCTTTAGTTTATTTACTTGTATGTGGTGCTGAGAATCAAATCCAGTGCGTTACACGTGCTAGGTAAGCGCGCTACCACTGAGCCACAACCCCAGCCTCTAACATCTTATTTTTTTAAAATTAATTTTTGAAATTAATTTTATTGTGTATATTTAAGGTATACAACACGACAGCATAAAGATACATTTATAGTACAGTGACTATTACTAAACTGGAAGAAAGTAATGTATCCATTATATCTTCATCCATGTTTTTTCCCATGTGGCAAGAGTAGCTGTAATCTACTCATTTAGTAATAAATCCTGAATATGACTCACACATATTATTATTAATTATATTCCTAATATTGTACATTAATCATTAGATTTGTCAATCCTACATATCTGCTATATTGTATCCTTTGACCCACAACTCTCCATTTCTTATTTCTCAAACAGACCCTGGTGTTACAACCACTGTTTTATTCTCTATGTAGACTGAAAATTTGTTTTCGAAGATTCCACATATAAGTGAAGTCATATAATATTTTGCTTTCTGTATCTGGTTATTTCATATATTTGGCATAATGTTATATCTGGCATAATGTTCTCTGAGTCCATCCATGTTGTAGCAAATGGCAGGATATCTGCCTTTTTATGGCTGAATAATTGTGTGTGTGTGTGTGTGTGTGTGTGTCAGTTTCTTTGTCCATTTGTCCACTGATGGACACTGTTTGATTGCTGTTACTTAACAAATACCTGAGAAAAATCAACTTAGAAAAGGTTTATTTTCATTCACAGGTTTAGAAGTTTTAGTCCAGAATCTGTTGCTTTGTGCCTGTGTCAGGATAACACATAACTATAGAGTTGGGATCCCATTATTCCCTTTAAGGGCATGCTCCCAATGACCTAAAGACCTTCTATTACACCCCACTTCTTTAGAGTTTCCACTTCCCCCCAATAGCATCATGCTGGAGATCAAACCTTTACCACATGGACCTTTGGGGGTGGGGGACATTCAAGATCCAAGATATGGCAGAAATCTAAGTTGTTTCCATATCTTGGCCTTTGTAAACAGTGCTGCAATGAACATAAAATTATAGATATATTTACAAAGTGGTGATTTCATTTCCTTTGAGTATATACCAAGGAGAGAAGTTACTAGGTCATATGGTAGTTCTATTTTAATTTTTTTGGGAACCTCTCCATACTTTTTTCCATAATGGCTATAACAATTTACAGTCTCACCAATATAGAAGGATTCCCTTTTCTCCACACCCTTGCCAAAACTTCTTATCTCTTTTTTGGTAATGGATGTGTGAGTTAGCTTCCTGTTAGCAATAATAAGATACTTGAGATAATCAACTTATTTTGGCTTACAGTTTTAGAGGTATCTATCCATCAGTTGGCTTGTTTTTGGGCACAAGCCAAGGCCATATATCATGGCAGGATGGTTGGTGGAGGAAGCTTGTTCATTTCATGTGCAGGATGGAAGAAGAGAAAGAGACTGGAGTCTCACAGTCTCCTTTGACATCATGATCCCAATGACCTAAATTCCTCTAGACCTCATGCTCAGAATAAAGCCTTTAAAACATGGACCCTTGGGGCACATTCTAGAAGAAATGTCTTTTCAAGTCCTTTGCCCATTTTTCATCTGGTTATATATTTTCCTGCTGTTGAGTTGTATGAATTATTGATAAATCTTGGATAGTAATCACTTTTCTGGTTTATAGTTTTTAAAATTTTATCTGTAGATTGTCTTTTCATTTTTTGATTGTTTCCTAAAATCTCAGGTTATAAAAGTACAAAAATAAGTGGGACTATAGACATCATAGTCTAATTTTATTTTGTCCTCAAAGGAGTCAAATTTACGTTCTATTAACCTAGGACTTCAATTACTATAATAGTATCCAGTTTATGTTGGCTGATGTATATAATGGAAAACAAATTGAGCATCCTTTTAAAGTATATATCTTTTGCAATCTATCCTTATTATAGAAAGATCACAAAAGGGGCTGGAGGTGTAGTTCAGTGGTAGGACATAGGCTTAGCATGCTCAAGGCCCTGGTTTCAATTCCATACCCCCACCACACACACATACACACAACAACAACAACAAAAAAGAAAAAAGAAAAAAGATCACAAAAAGAATCTATAATTTCACTAGTGTTTTTGGAATACTTTATGTGTGTTATGTGTAGAGTACCTTTTTAATCTCTCAACAACTACTCCATAGGGTGTAAGTACTGTTATCTCCATCTTATTGTCAAAATCCAGATAACATGGAGATACATGATTAATTCAGGATTTGGGTTTTATTTTAAAATGTGTGTGCGTAATACATATATATGTATGTCTATATATGTATATATATTTATGTTTTAGTTGTAGATGACAGAATACCTTTTATTTTTATGTGGTGCTGAGGATCAAACCCGGTGCCTCACCCATGCTACAAGCACTCTACCACTGAGTCACAACCCCAGCCCCAGATTTGGGTTTATTAATTATTTAGACTAGGAACATAAATGGTACAAAATCTTTTTCAAAATGTTCATAACCTGGCCACAGAGAAATGGTAAAACTTTTACCCTGTGTTTCTGCTGTATTGGTTTCCTGTGGCTGTATAACAAATTATCCAAAGTTAACAGCTTAAAACACATATTTATATTACCTTAAAAGTTATGGGGTTAGGAATATGGGAATTAACTGGGGTCCTCTGCCTCAGGGTCTGCTCAAACTTACTTGGAATGGTCAGACTTTGTTTATGAGTACTGAATTTAAGGTTTTATTTGTTCTTGTAGCTCAAATCTAATCCAAGTGAAAATGAAGAAAAGGAAGCCCAGTCACAACTTCTCAAGTCTGATGAAATGCAACGTTTGCGTTCACAAGCACTCGAGGCTTTTGAAAGTGCAGATTATACTGCTGCTATAACCTTCCTTGATAAGATTTTAGAGGTAAGTTTCTTAGATACCATGCTGACAAGCGGCACTTACTGCTTTTTACTGTAAGACATGTTTATCACTTAAACATACAATATACCACAAAACACTTAGACAGAATAAAATGAACTTTCAGCTGTTAAGTGAAAGATTGTATTTGTATGGAACATAATTTGCAACTGAATTTTCAGAATGTGCTGAAAACTAAGGTTTTCAGAATGTTTTGAATGTGCTGTGGAGCGAGAGTTACATATTTTCATACATTACTTGCTTTGCTATTTTGGTTTGATTTTTCAATTTTTGAGGGAAAAGAACTCTGGAGATTACATAATGGTGTAAGAGATGACAGTTGGTTGAAGAAAAAGGAAAGGAAAAATTATATTTGGGAAAAAAAGGAGTGCTGTAGGAAAGAAGGCAGACAGAGTTGACAGGACCCAAAGGGTTCTAGATAGGAAACTTAAATCTAGGGTTTCCCTGCCTCAGAAAGATTTAATGACACATAATTTTAGAAGAAAGTCTAAAGTAATGAAGTGGAAGTAGTCATAATTCATACTTAATTACCATTTTCACAGTATTTTGATGTACAGTTTCATTAAATCTTGGTAGTAAACTTGTGTGTAGAATGGGCATTTCTTTCATAAATATAGGGGAAATCTTGTGATATGAGCTGGTGGAATTTATGTTTTACTAAACTATGTTTTACAATATTAGGAAATGTAAAGTTATGACCTTTACTTTCTAACACTAGTTAGATTGTCCATTTTGACCTTCCTCACTGTCTATGATTCTTTAATTTATATGATGTTGATTTTCATCTTCATTAATGTGAAAATTGGGCATGACTTAGAGCAGTTCAAATAAATTATGTAAAGATACTCCCATATGTCACATTGCTGAGCTTTTGGGTTTATGTTTTAAAGAATGCCAGTATATTTTCTAAACATTATGGACTTTTGATAAAACAAATGGTGAAGCCTCCAGCCTTCTCACATTATTTTTCCTTTATTTTTTTGATAAGAGGATTTAATTTCAAGAAAATGACACTTTATAAAAGAGAGAATTTAGTTATCAGTAGAATACACATTTCCCAGCATATTTTACTCAATTTATTTTCTGGACTAGACATTAGAATTGTTAAATAAAAAGAACTGACTATTGGAAATTCTCTCCAAATATGCTTCACTGGGAACAACCATGGATAGTAAATGCTATGTTGCCTTTTTTAAAATTATTATTATTCAGTTTTAGAATTATAATTGAAGGAGGAAAGAAACGGGCCAGATTAGAATTTTAAGATATTTTTGGAGCAATTGCCACAATTTTTTCCCCCCAGTATTTGGGATTGGATTCAGAAACATTCTATCTCTGAGCCATATTCCCAGCCTTTTTGTTTCCTTTCATTTTATTTCAAGACAGGGTCTTGCTATGTTGCTGAGGTTGTCTTATAACTTGCAATCCTCTTATCTCATTCTCCTAAATAGCTGGGATTACAGGTGGGTGCCATCTTTTTTTTAATCATATTTAAATTGTAAAGGACTTTTAAACACTGTTTACAATACGGAAGTCATCACATTGAGGATGTTTATAAATATACAGATAAAAATATGTGGGATACAGTAATGAGTGTTCATAATTTATTGTTTCTTAAAGTCTAGTTCTTTTGTTTCTCAAGGTTTGTGTTTGGGATGCAGAACTGCGGGAACTTCGAGCTGAGTGTTTTATAAAAGAAGGAGAACCTAGGAAAGCTATAAGTGACTTAAAAGCCACATCAAAACTGAAGAATGATAATACTGAAGCATTTTATAAAATCAGCACACTGTACTACCAACTTGGAGACCATGAATTATCCCTCAGGTCAGTTTTAAGATTTTAATATTAAATTAATATGTGGTTGACATTTTATACTCTTTATATATCATTCCTTACATTACTCTAGTTTCATAGTTTATTTTCGTGAAAAGTGTTTATTTCATGAAAGTAAGTAAACAAGAAGTAATTTGTTTTCTAAAAACAAAATACTGTTTAATGTATAATTCTATATAAGTCATTTTACTTTGAATTAGAAAATGTGTTCATGGTATAGTGTCATATACAAGTACGTAGTAGATTATTAAGTATGTTTTGTTACAAATCAAAATACTATTTTGTGATTTTTGTATTTAATATGGAAAACTGAATATTTTGACTTGGAGCATTTTCCTTTTTTCAATTCCATGAGCAGTGAAGTTCGTGAATGTCTAAAACTTGATCAGGATCATAAAAGGTGTTTTGCACACTATAAACAAGTAAAAAAACTTAATAAGCTGATTGAATCAGCTGAAGAGCTCATCAGAGATGGCAGGTAAGAATATGTTTATCCTAACCACCCAGCCTTTCCTTCTGACATCAGGTTATGGGCACAAATGAACTACTGAACTCTACCAAGCTCATTTATTCTCTGTCACTGAGGGTGAAGTATTCTAGATGGCACTGGGCTTTAGCAAAACCACCAGAATTATACATTTTTAGAATAAGGTAGAATATAAATATTAATTGTATAGTATCCTTATCAGCAGATTTATGTTAGGCCAGATTTTTTTTTTTATGGTTATTGATGGACAGCATGCCTTTATTTTATTTATTTGCTTTTTTATGTGGTGCTGAGGATTGAATCCAGTGCCTCACACATGCTAGGCAAGTGGTCTGCCACTGAGCTACAGCCCCAGTCCTGTTAGGCCTTATTTTATTGAGTGTCTCTTATATCAGGCATAGAGCTATGTACTAAGGGTATAGAAATGAATTTGACTATAAGTTTTTGGTCTTAAGTTTATTGCTTTGTGTGGAAGACGGACATATAATTTGCTGATTAACGGATAATATGATACCAAACTGCTAGAATGTATAGAGTATGATGGGAATACCAAAGAGGGGCTTTTTAATGCAGTCCAAGGTATTAAGGCCAGAAGTTAAAAAGAGAAGCTTGCTGGAGAAGGTGATAGGTATTTAAATCCTAAGTCTAAAAAATACATAGAAGTTGCCAGAATATAGATTGTGTCTGTATAAGTATTGTTTATAGGTGGTTTGTAGGTTGGGGCAGGGGAGTTGAAGAAAATGGAGAACTTCCACACAACAGTGCTTAGTAGAATGTAGGCTCTGAATTCCCTATTTCTAATACTTTTGGAAACTGTCACATGAGAATGCTTTACCCAATTTCCTCCAGCTTCTGGCAAACTATAATACAGTATCATAATCAGGATATTGATTAATTCCATTACCATAAGAATGTCTCATGTTGCCCTTTTATAGCCATAACTATTTCTCTCCTGTCCTTACCACTTCCTGAATACCAAGTTACCATGAATTTATTTTCCATTTCTATAATTTTGTCACTTCAAGAGTGTTATAGAGGGCTGGGGATGTGGCTCAAGCCGTAGCGCGCTTGCCTGGTATGCGCGAGGCCCGGGTTCGATCCTCAGCACCACATACAAAACAAAGATGTTGTGTCCGCGGAAAACTAAAAAATAAATATTAAAAAAATTCTCTCTCTCTCTCTCTCTCTAAAAAAAAAAAATTAAAAAAAAAGTGTTATAGAAATGGAATCATATGTACACTTTTGGAATTGGCTTTTTTCCACCTCAGCATAAATCTCTGAAGATTTATTAGATTATTATGTGCATAAGTATTTCCTTCCTATTTTTTGCTGAAATTTCCATGGTGTACGTGGACTACACTTCAGCCATTCACCCATTGAAAGTCATAATAGCATTTTATTCCACCCCCACCCCCCGCATTGGGTATTGAACTCAGGGGTGCTCTACCACTTAGTTATATCCCCAACCTCTTTTACTTTTTTTTAAATGTTTTTTTTTTTAGTTGTAGATGAACACAATACTTTAATTTTATTTTTATGCGGTGCCAGGGAACGAACCCAGTGCCTCACGCATGTTAGGCAAGCACTCTTCCACTGAGCCACAACCCCTGCCCCCTCTTTTACTTTTGAGAGAGTATATAAGTTGCCCAGGTTGTTCTTGAAGTTATGCTCCTGTCTTGGCCTCCCCAGTAGCTGGGATTTCACATGTGCATCATCATGCCAAGCTTTTCTTTCACTCTTTATCTTTTCATCTTAATTGTTTTTTGTTTGGTGTATACACGTTTAGGATTGCTGTGTGGTGAATTGACCCTTTTATCATTCTGTATTGCTCATTTCTGATAATTTTCTGTTACTTTATATGACAGTATAGTCTCTCTTGTTTTCCTCTGATTACTATTTACAAGGTATGGTCTTTTCTATCCTTTTACTTTCAGCTTGCATTTGAAGGGAGTTTCTTGAGGACAGCTTTCAGTTGGGTCATGATTTTAAATGTACCCTGCTAATCTTTTCTAATCACTTTATTTAGACCATTTACCTTTACATTTAATGTAATTGTAATAGGTTAGGGGCTTAATAGCTGTTTTCTTCTTTGTTTTCTGTTTGTTATTTTTCCTTTTGGCTATTTGAACACTTTTAGAATTCCGTTTTTATTCACTTATGGAATCTTGGCATGTATCTCTTTGCCCCGCTTTTTTAGTGTTTGCTATGGGTTTGACAAAACTTGTTAGAGTCTATAGCATCATTTTAGTAATTTATGTGTAAAAGAACCTTATTTTCCTTTAATAGCCTTTACCCTGTACTGTTTATAATTGTCCTGTGTTTCCATACCACAATACAATGTTATAAATTTTGCTTCAACATCAAACACAATTTAGAAACCTAAAGAAGAAAGAAAGTCTAGAATATTGTTTTAGTCTGTTTTGTGCTGCTACAATAAAATACCTGAAGCTGGCACTTTATAGTGTAATTCATTATTTTAGTGGCTGGTAAGTCCAAACAGCATGGGGCCAACATCCTATGAGGGCTCCCTGACTATGTCAGTGTGGCAGAGAAGCATGTGGGATGGCCTTATGATAACTTGCTTTCTAGAGAATTAACTTGGTTGTGGGATAACTTCATTAATATCTTTTAGAGGTGATGCCCTCAGGACTTAATAATTACCTTTCACTAGGTTCTATCTCTTAAAGGCACTGTCACACTAGAGACTAAACTTTGAGCACATGAACTTTTGGGGGACAGATCATGGCAAGTATGCACTCATATTTTGCTTGCTGTGTTCTTTTCCTTGTTAATGTTCTAAGATTCCACCTCTTATTCTTTCCTTAAGTTTTGGGTATTGAACCCAGAGCCTGAGCATGTGTTCTACCACTGAACTATACCCCCAACCCTTGTGTCTTTTCCTTTCCTTTAGGGTTGGTCTATTGGTGATAAAATTTTCTAGTTTTCTTGTATCTGAGAATATCTTGGTTTCCCTTTAATTCCCAGAGGAGATTTTCTCTGGGTATAGGATTCTGAGTTAATACAGCACCTGGAAAATTTTGTGCTACTATCTTCTGGCCTCCATAGCTCTTGATAAGATTCTATGTCATTCTTATAGTTCTCCCCTCTAGAGTCTCAGGTTTCTGTTTTCAAGATTTTCCTCTTTAATAAGTTTAATTGTGATGTGTCTTGGCCTGGATTTCTTGTTACTCTACTCATAAGTCTAAACTTAGTTTCTCAAATTTATTATGTGCCATATCACAATATTCACTCAAGATACACCACATATGTAATGATGGTCCCCTAAGATTAAGATGGCCTAATGATATAACCATTGTAACACATTAGTCAGGTAAGATGTTGCTGGTGATGCTGACCACAACAGACTTGATAGCTGTATCCAAGTGTAGCACATACAACTATATATAATGCATAATAGTTGGTAATGATAGTGGATAACTATACTACTGGTTTTTATATACAGAGTATATTCCTTTTAGTTTTTGTTTTTTTTTTTAAAGTTGACTATAAAACAGCATGCTGTGTTATGTCAGCAGTAGCTTAAAACATTGTGTTAGAGGCCAGGTCTGTATCATCTGGTTTTGTATACTTGACACTTCTACGATGATGAAACCACCCAAGTACACATTTTCAGAATGCAGCTCCATTGTTAAGCAACGCGTAGGTTTAGCCATTATTTAAATACTTCTTTAGATCTTTGTCCTCTCCATCTTAGACTACAATGACATAAGTGTTAGATCTTTTGTTAGAATCTCACAGGTCCTTGGGAGTATTCACTTAAGACTGTATTCTCTTTGTTGTTCAGATTTGACAATTTCTGTTCCAGTTAACGGAATACTTTTCTCTGTTCTCTTTGTTTGCTATTGAGTACATTCAATGAGGGTTTTAATATTTTTTTAGTTCTAAAAACTCCATTTGGTCTTTCTTTGCTCAGCCATCCTGTGCTTTTCACTTGAGTTAAACTTTATTTGTGATTGCTTTTTCTTCATGGCTGCTTTAAAATCTTTATCAGATAATTCTAATACCTCTGTTTCATTGGGGTTTAGTATTTTTCTCATTTGGTTTGAGATTTTTCCATTTTTTGATATGAATGGTTTTTAATTGAAACAAGGAATTCTCATTTTGTTATAAGGCTCTGGTTTTAATTTAAACCTTGCTTTTGGCTGGGTTTTTCCTAACATAATTCCAGCAAAGTGGAGGGTGGCACCACCTTGTTACTGCTGGATGGAAACAAAAGTTTCCTCCTTGGCTTTTGTTGATACCTGAGGGTGGGGAGGGCTTCTTACTAGAAAATAGGTTGGTACAGGCAAGAGTTCTGGCTCCTCACATGGTCTTCTCCATTGACACCACCACTGGAGGAGTAGGGTGGAGGAAAGTCCTGGCTCCCTTTTGGCCTTTTCTGTTATTGCCTTAGTAGAGATGGAGGGGAACCCCATTCAGCCTCAGCAAGGAGATGTCTAGATTCTCCACTGGCTTTTGCTGGTCTCAGGTGTGTTCTCTGAGGTATTTGGCTGGACTAAGGCAGTTACTGCTTTGCTGGGCTGCCCTTTTCAGGTTCTCTGGTCAGGGAGACTTTGGATTTTTATTTTTGCTTTTACATTTTTGGGTTGCTGACATCTTCAGCTCCAAGTCTGGGCTATAGGAAGCCAAAAATAAAGCCAGGGAATTTACCATCATGTTTTTCCTCAGCTCCTAAGGCTACTAGATAGTTTATCTTTTATCCCCTCTTTAGACTTTTAATATCTAGGGGTTTTAGTTGTACTTAACTGGAGAAACTGAGAAAAGTACATCTATCAACTCTCCTAAAAACTAGGTTTTCTTTTAAATGTATTGCTCTTAGAAAGCTTGGAAAGTTGGGAATTTAAACAGGTTCCTTCTATAAGGAACTGCATTATACTTATTTGTGAATATTGGCATTTACTGATAATAACAGCCCATTATGTGCCTTTTTTTTTCATAAAAATGTGTAGTAGCCAAAAAATAAAACTGGAATTCTGTTTTGAAAGTGCTCAATTTAAGTCAAACTTCAGGTGTTTTGAGTTTCAAAATCTGAGCTTTGGTCTGTAAAGGACTTCGTCACTGGGTTTGGTGTTCATAGGCATGCCTTGATGTGTCTGGGTATACCTCCTGTGGCCAGGTGTTTATCTCTGGACTGTACCTTCCATGCAACTCTGGGTTAACAAGGTCTGAACAGTGTTTAAAGGCAGGTGCTCATTTACTTGAATTGATAAAGCAACCCACAGTGAAGAGAGAGGGTCCTTTGCACAGCTCTGGAAATAGAATTTTATTGGTTACTCATCACATTTTGCTCATTTAATAGATACACAGATGCAACCAGCAAATATGAATCTGTCATGAAAACAGAGCCCAGCATTGCTGAATACACAGTTCGTTCAAAAGAAAGGATCTGTCACTGCTTTTCTAAGGTAACAGTTGACTTTTCCCTGAAATGTAAATATTTAACATGATGAATAACAACCGTAAATTCTTTTCTCATACTTGCTTTTAGGATGAGAAGCCTGTTGAAGCCATTAGAGTATGTTCTGAAGTTTTACAGATAGAACCTGACAATGTGAATGCACTAAAAGATCGAGCAGAGGCCTATTTAATAGAAGAAATGTATGATGAAGGTAAATCTTTAAGGAATTTGATTTGCAGTATCTAAAGGTTCATTATGTCAAATTTGCAATGTTCAGTTGCCTTTTATTTAGAACATATTTACCAGCATACCTGGAAATGTTGACAATTTTGGAAAAGTGGTAGTAAGTGTGAAATTATTCTTTCTTAGTGGAATTTAAAAGGTACATTATGGAAAGAGTTCTATTGAAAACTAATTGAGTATAATATAAAAATTTTAGCTCTCTTTGCTGTAGGTTGGTACAGGCAAGTAGTCAACTTAGAGAAAAAAACAAAACAAATAATTTATAGATCTCATAGTCAGAGATAAACACTATTCATTTTGGATTTATATCTTTCCAGACTTTTGTCTAAGCACATTAGTCTATATTTTATGTATATACATATATACCCACATATCCTGTGCATATGCCCAGCTTGTATAATATAAACATAAAGCATACAGAAAATTCATATGTCTAATAAAAAATGATCCGCTGTGACCTTCATATTGTGTACTAACATTAGGATAGCTGCTTTTTCCCAACTTGAAGTTGAAGAAATGAAGAGAGATTCCTGTTAGATGTTATGAGGATGCTGAATACAGGCAGTGTCCTATTTTCTGAAAGTAAGGCACATACAGCAATATACATTTTTTTAAAAAAACAATTCTATGTATTGTTTTGTAGCTTTGTGTGACAGTATGTCATGAACATTTATTTAATTAAAGAAATGAGCCTTATAGATGCTTATTGCAAAAATTTTTTTTGTTTGTTTGTTTCAGATCAGGTAGAACATTTTAAATTAAGTTTTCTGTTACAGTGAAATTTGGTTTGTGGTTCACTTTTAAAAAAATAAACTGGTCATTCTTTTCCTGCTTTCCCCGATTTGCAAAGAATCTTACAGTTTTCAGTGGTGATGACAACTCTGGTGACCATTTGTGGGGCATTCAGACCTTGAAGCTTCAGTGAGATTTAAAAATGTATGCAATCAGAACAATTAAGTTAGAATGGAGTCCACATGGAAGATCATTTGAGTTTGCTCCTTTCCTTTTTGAGCTACGTTGTCCCCATGAAGAGATGACTTTATGCTAGGATTTTGCATTCCAGTTAGTTTTGATCAAAGGAACATCTTGTCATCTCTACGTAAGTCCTTAGCTCTAATGGTAAAATTAGGGAAACCGCAGTAGAAAAAGCTTAGCTGTTAGGTCAGAGTTCTTTAGCTGTTAAATATAATTCAAAAGGTGCTTTTGTAATGAAAAAAGCAGGTTTTGCTTTTTAGGGAAATCTAATGGCTTAATACTAATTTAAACATGAGTTTATTCTTTGTCTTATTACAAGTATAAAAATTAAATCTAAGATGGGGACAAAGGGAGTGAAGAGAAAGTAAATGATGTAAAGGAGCAATCATGATAAGAAGGCTAGATAATACTTCAGTTAAAATGAAGGCTTTCCATATTCTTCTATTTACTGGCTTTACCATTTTAAAAATCAATTTAAAAATATTTAAGCATTGATAGGTATAGTTTTGTGAATAATGGAATATGGGGCTTTATTAATTTGGGGATCCATCCATAGAAAGTAAGTAAAGACTATTGTTTGAGCCCAGCGAGGTTGTGCATGCCTATAATCCCAGCAACCTGGCAGCTGAGGCAGAAGGATTTCAAGTTTGCAGCCAGTCTCAGCAGTATAGCAAGACCCCATCTCAAAAAATAAAAAGGGCTGGGATGTAGCTTAGTGGTTAAGCACTCCTGGCTTCAATCTCCAGTACCAAAATAAAACAAAACACAAACATTCTTGTTCAAGGATGCCTTCGATGTCAGGAAAAATGAAGGGGAACTCTTTTTAGATCTCATTGGGGCTGCTTTTGACAGGAACAAAGTGACACTAAACCGACACCAAAATGTTAAGCAGTTATATTTGCTAGAACCTGAGGGGAGGAGCACCTGATGCATCCTGCTATACTTTATCTAGGGAGCATTTCAGAGTTCTCATGGCTGATTCTTCTTTCCAGGTTGTTGACTTAGGTCCCTAGCTCCTATATATGGGGAAGAGATTGGTCATATTAGGATCATAGAAATTTGGCTTGCTAAGTTAAAAGCTGCTTATATATTTTCACACACTGAGTAGAGCAACTGTGGACCCATTTATATAAAGCACATGTTTTTGAAACTTCCAGCTGAAAGGATGCCAGGGTGATAAGATATAGAACCTAGGGACAAGGAATATGATAAAATTGTGGTCAGATACCAAGGTTGGGGGATTTTTTTTTTTTCTAAACAGGCTTAGCAAGACTCTAGCTCAAAATAGATTCTACCAGGATGGAGAATCCCAAGGTTGGGATCTAGTTAGAAGAGTCTGTGTAAAGTTTTGGTCAAAGGAGAGTCTCTGTCAATATGCAGAATACAGCATTACCTCTGGTCCTCTACCAGTCAGTCCCCATCCCATAGGCAACTGTTGTTCAGATTTTCTCCACAGATTTTATATATATATATATATATATATATATAAAATTTTTCATTCAGCATTTTTTTGAGATTTATGTTACATGCTTTGGTAGTTCTTTTTATTGCTTAAGAGCAGAAGCTGGCAAATGTTTTGTATAAAGGGCTAGATAGTAAATATTGCAGGCTCTGCATGCCATATGGTTTCTGTTGCAACTATCAATTCTGCTGTTGCTACGAAAAAGCAATAGGCAGATGAATAGGCATGGCTGTATTCCAGTAAAACTTCATATTCAGAAACAGGCACATCTCTTTTTGCACTAAAAGAGCGAAGGCTTCCCAGTGGTAGCTGGGAAAGGTGAGAAGTGGTTTAGCTCTAGTTTGAATAAAAACTAATTTGGGACTTAATAATGGAGAAAATCACTTGCTGTTTTCTTGAAATTCTTCTCTGTATTGGGGAGCTCAGGTAGGCTTTAAGTGGGTGGCAACTGTTCACATAAACATGCCCCCTCTATGGTACCTGCCAAGCTGCCATGTCAGGGGTTCCTCCACATTGCACATGTTTCACTCTGCTTAGAGGCAGATTTGGGGGCCCCAGGGGGGATAGTGCTGCAGGCAGCTGCTCCACATGCCAGGTCAAGAGCTTGTGCAGGCTTGTTTTCATCTTAGACTATCCTGATGGTTGCCTTTAATTTTTTCTTGCTTGTTAAACTGAAAATCCTTGGCCCAAAATCACTGTTGCTACTGTGTGTGTTGAAACCTATAGTTGACGTGGTCACCCTGACTGCTGATGTTCTTCCTGATACCTTTCTAGCATCTCTATTAAACTGTCCACTCAGATTTTCTTTGCCAATGCCTTACTTTCCTATGAACATTCACTTCAGTTTCAGTGAAGATTACTGTGTGTAATGTGGAGTACTGATATTAAAGTACATTGAAGAAGGCACTCGGAGATGATGTGGGAGGGTGGGCAAGTAAACCAAGAGCAGTGCATTTTTAAACAGGCTACCTGACTTCAGCCTTAATTGTCTTTTGTAAGTTTGTGAACAAAGTTATTACTTAAGCTTTTAGCAATAATGATGAAGGGGCATGACTTTAGTATCAATTCTGCAGGATGTGTAGAGGCAATAAATTGTAATCCCCCCTAACAGCATTATCTTAAACATATTTTTACAGCTATTCAAGATTATGAAGCTGCTCAGGAACACAATGAAAATGATCAGCAGATTCGGGAAGGTCTAGAAAAAGCACAGAGACTATTGAAACAGTCACAGAAACGAGATTATTATAAAATCTTGGGAGTAAAAAGGTGAAATTATTAAAATTTACATTGCTACTGTCTTAAAGCTAATCATATCATCTCTTTCTCTCTCCCTGATTCATTTATTTATGTAATTTTGGTCAACTATTATTCTAACAATCCTTAATAACATAAAGCTATTTTGAATATGCTACAGGCAAGTTTGATAGAGACCAATAATAGAGAATTAAAAGTTGGTGACAAAGGCTGTACACACCAGGTTCTAGACATAGATTATTATTATTATTAGGAAAGGTTAAAGTAGTAGAAGTGAACTTTCTTTTGATGGGGAGAGAAGGAATGAGGAAAAGAAAAATATCTTAGGCCTAAAAATAAAGTTGTACTTTTATCATAAGACCATCTTCTGTGACCCAGTAAACTGTCAATCTTCAAACCAAAGCCTGAAACTTTGTTCTTAATAAGTAAACTAATTCCGAGGCAAATGGTTCAAAGCCTTTTTAATGCCAAACAGCAATCAAATCAAGGTATCTTAAATTATAAAATCAGTACTTTATTCTCAGAGAAATTCTTAGTGAACAGGTATCTGAGGCAGCCTGGCTGATTTTAATGGTCACACAGAGCTGGGAACTATAAAATCCCATTGGCAGTTAATCTCATTTTTTATGGAAGAAGGTTGGCTACTTAACTAATGATTGTTTGTTTTACCACACCTCAGAAATGCCAAAAAGCAAGAAATCATTAAGGCATATAGAAAATTAGCACTGCAGTGGCACCCAGATAACTTCCAAAATGAAGAAGAAAAGAAAAAGGCTGAGAAAAAGTTCATTGACATAGCAGCTGCTAAAGAAGTTCTCTCTGATCCAGGTATTATTTGCCCTCAGCATCATCCCAGTCTCTTGAAAGTAGATTATTAGCTCTTATTCCTTTGCCTCATCTCAGAAAGCAGTATCAGAAGTGGAGGGTGGAAAGCATGGTAAGTTGTCTTTGTGGGTCTGTGACTGGTCCTGCAGTTTTAGAAATTGTTTTATATCTGCCTCATCTGATCTGGGTCCCTCAGATCAAATGTGGAGTCAGAAGCTTGAGCTCGAATCTTTTCTACAACTTTTAGGCCTTATGGGTTATTTTTTTCCTCTTTCCAAATCTGATAAAATTGAGCATAATCACAATACCATCTAGGTTCTTTCCATCTTCACAGGTCAGTAATGAATTCTAAACTCCCCGGAACACGGTGAGGAAACAATTGGTCAGGTCATCCTTTGCATCTCTGGGTGTGATCACCAGCAATCTTATCCTAAACTGGTTGGTCAGTTCTTTTATCATATATTAACATGTCCTGGAGACAGGCTGAGAACTGAGATAATAATGAATAATGCTTTTTCATTTCAGAAGTTTGATGTTAAGCTACCATTTTTTGTGGCCTTCCTTGTCAGTGGAATTAGAAGCCTTGATGTGAGCTAAATACGTTCAAGGGGGCTGGGATTATAGCTCAGTGCTTGCCTCGCACATGTGAGGCACTGGGTTTGATCCTCAGCACTACATACAAATAAATAAATATATGAATATATTGTGTCCACCTACAACTTAAAGAGACATTCAAGTTTTACCACTCTGGCAAATCTTTTTTGAACACCTGTTTATGCCATGGAATGGAAGTTAAATGATCCTTTGTTTTTAAGTAATGTATAACCTAGTAAGGGAGAAAGAACTGCACTTGACTTAGTAGGAACACATACTGTCCTGTTATTTGGCAACTATCAGGTGCCTACAATATCCCTCAAATGGTTAGGCCCATGCAGTGTGGGGCAACTCCTTTTTTTTTTTGAGGGAGGGTACTCTGGAGTGGAGCCTATCATCATGGAGCTCTGCACAGAGAAAAACACTGCAGGGTGTTTTCCCTAGTTCCTGTTCTTATTCTCGAGATGAACAGCTTCTTCCTATCTCTATATAATTCCTGTATCTGCATGGTGTCTCTGCTCAGGGCTGAGAGGCACAGTAGTGGGGCACCAGTTACAGAAGGGAAAATGAGCCTGCTGGAGGGTGCATGAAGGGGGCCTTGCTCGCCCCCCCCCCCCCCCCCCCCCCCCCNTACCTGAGGAACCACAGTGCTGCTCAGGTTGAATAGTGAGGTTCTAGGAAGTTCATTTTGTGCTTGGGGAAGAGGGTGTTAGTGAATTTATTGCTGGCACACTTAATTTGGGGGCTTAAGGTGCTAATATAGCTATTTTATCAGAAGAGTGCAACTTTTGGAAGTCTGTAGATATCTCCAAAGAGCACTACTAAAAAGTAGTTTCCTGACACCTCCCTGCCAATGTACCTTTGTTAATGCCCGGATCTTAAGTTGTTGATTTCTTTTCTAGAAATGAGGAAGAAGTTTGATGATGGAGAAGATCCCCTGGATGCAGAGAGCCAACAAGGAGGTGGTGGAAACCCTTTTCACAGAAGCTGGAACTCATGGCAAGGGTTCAATCCCTTCAGCTCAGGCGGACCATTTAGATTTAAATTCCACTTCAATTAAACCAACTTTTTTCTGCTCTTCCTTAATTTTTTTTTAAAGATTAAAAAAAATCTTGTTCTGGGATCCTAATGAAAAAAAATTTCAAATCTTTGTCCATGACCAAAGAGTTGTTTTAATAGGAAAAAATCTGTTCTTATCCACTGTAGACCAAAGGTTGATGGATCTGCAAGGGGGCGGGCAAGGATGGTTCTATCTCTGACAAGAGTCTGTATTCATTTTATGAATGTCTGGAAGAAGTAGTCTGAAGCAGCTCACCTGTGGATGTGCTCACATATTCTGTGTTTTCAGCACTGGAGCATGTAGATTCTTTTCTTCATAGCCTTGCATAGTACCTCTGTGAAGGAGATGTGATCTTCATGAGAAGGGGTTGTGTTTCAGTTCTTAAAGAGAAAATGAACAGATGAGCTTTATTGTTCTTAGGAACAACTATGCTTAGATTTTGGTCAGTTCAGTCACTTGCTAATGTTAAATTGCTATGCCTCCTTTAAGGTATATCTGATTATTCCTGTGCAAGCGTCAACACGGCTGTCACTGAGGAAGGGGCAGAGTCTTTTAGGAAATTTGCCACCAAATGGTAGTTGATATATCCTGGTATAGAATGGATTGATGTTAAACATTTTTTTGTTTAGTACCTACAGGATACTGAAAAAAAACTTGAATTTAATTCTAAGAACCTATGGGCCCTTTTGCTTAACATTAAACAGAACAATTGGAACCTGTTTTACATTTTATGTTTAGTTATATGATAAAGCAGTGGTATTATTTGACTCCTACTTTCAAGCAATACCGTAGGGCAGTTTCTCTTACATCTGGACTGACCCTCTGAGCAACTTCCCCATGGGAGTAGTTTGCTGGTGTGTTGGACAGCAGTTCTGCCCTCACCAGCCAGGCTTGGGTGCCTCTTAGTTCTGCCCAACAGAAAATACAGGCTTGCAAATTGGTTGGTTTTTGCTGGCTCTGCATCCATTATCATTTCACTTCACAACGTAGCATCTTCTTCAGAGATAGTTACCTTCTTCAAAAGGAAGGGAAGGTAAGATATTATACTATTAAGTCATTGTATACTGGATAGTTTTTACCCTAAAAAATGTTTCTAAATGAAGAACAGTGAATATTTATGGAACTGCTAATGCTGAATTTAAAATCTAAGATTACTTTAGATAAGAATTACCTTCATTCTAGAAAGGTTTTTGGTTTTGCCTTGAAGCATTTGAAACATTTTAAACATTAAAAGTTCTAATATATGGCTTCTGTGAAATCAAGCATTTTAGTTCCTGTAGGGCCATCCCGACCACAAAGGACTGCAACAACCATGCACAAGTTATTTTTTTTTCCATGTGACTAGAGAAAAACGTTTTTAACTGAAGGACATAAATCACATAACACTTAAGTGCTTTGTGCATCTATTTAGAAATCTGTTTCTTACTGATAAACTTAAATAGTGCATTTTGAAAACTAGTAAACAGCTTGCAGCTTTCATTTAATGTCTCAAAATTCAAGGCAATATGAAAATAATAAGTAAATTCATTTTGTTCTGTAATCTTAGTAATCTCATTACTTCACTAGTTACGTCAGCAATATATTTTTTTAAACTGGTTCCTTTTGTGGTTATCACTCTTTGAAATAATGACGGCCTCTACTTATTTTCAAAAGTAAGAATTTTCACACAGATCAAGGGAAATAGTAAAGTGACTCACCCTTGCATTTGGGAGCATAAAAATTTGCCAGCGGGGACTCAGACGGTTGAGGGCTGGGCCTAGCTGCCTCTTAACTGGCTGCCCAGAGGGCTTTTGCATTTCATTTTTTTCTCCACTTGTAACAACTAAAATCACTGTGGATTTAGTTTAGTCAACTTAATCAAATTGTGTAGTTACTTGCTGGTTTTCAGTGAAGAGAACAACAGAGCTTTGGTGCCAAGTTGTCAGTGCCACATAGGGAAACAAGTTCTCTGGGATCACTTGTGCTGATGAAGGAGGGAGGAAAGGGCTTGAGGTGTCAGCCTGGATGGTTGTCAGTAGTCTTCTGGTGTCCACTCAAATAGAAATACAGTCATTGTGTGTTCTCAAACAGTGGCTGAGAAAAACCCTGGATGTGTAAAGGTACAAAGAAGATGTTCTTCCATTGCTCATATGCAGTGTGAAAACATATCCCTGTAAAAAACATTTTTCTTTTTCTGTGGGATGACTTCCACATTCCAGTCTCTTTAGGGACTGCAGATGCTGCAGGTAACCTTTGTGAACGTTCTGGAAAGAACAGTATCAGAGAGGGGCATATTGTCTTCTGTTCTCAACTCCTCCCTTCCCTTTTGGTGGGCTACTGAAGGGTCACTGGTCTGGACTATTACACTGCGGACACTTTCCGTAGCAGGAATTAAAACATGTCAGCCTAGTTATGTTTTAAAATGTTCTAAAAAGGGAGACAGCATTTAAATCATTCCTTAGTTCTGAAAGTTTTCTTACCATGAATAGATGAAAAATTGAAAACAATTCCAGTAGTTTAATAATATGAATCGGATGTGATGATTAATTTTAACATGTCTTTCTCATTAGTCAGTGTTAAAAGTATATTCTAGTTAAATATCAGTATGAAAATAAGTTGTGGGAGCTCTGATAATGGAATCTAAAAACTACCCATGATTTTTTTTAAGAGAAAAAAGTTGATAACTAAATAGAAAAATAGTAGAATCACAATTTGAAATTGATATCATTTTTTACTCACAGGGAATAATGACAAATTTCACCTTTAAAGGCATGAAATTGGCCAGAAGTTGTATTTCACACTTACCAGGAAGAAAGTGCAAGTTCAAAATTATTCTTCTGGTCTGTGTTGGAACCACCTGCATTACATACACAGGGCACTGGTGATGGTCCTTGCAAAATGTTTTCACGAACTACACATCAACAGGATAACCTGTTGAGAAATTTATGCAACTTTGTTGAATGTAGTTGACTCTTCCATATTTATAAAGAGAGAAGAAAGCAAATGCTAATTTGTCAGTAACAACCAGTATCCTTATTTTAGATCAGATCATTCCTTTTCTGTTAGAGGCAGAATTTTTTCTGTAATTTCAAATGATGTTAAGAGGTGGGATGACTTTTTTTTAAAACAGATGATCTCATTTGCTGAATGATTCAAGAGTAAAATTAGCCACTGCGTGGCTTTGTGTATAGTAACAGGTTTTGTTGTACTCATCTGTGGATGAAACACTTACCTGCAGAAGGAAGCAGAGCACAGGGGAGGTGAAAATTGGAGATGTTAGAGAAGTTAAGCTATTACTCTAACCCTAAGGTTGTTTGTTTTGAATAAGAGAAAAGACTTAACTTAATCCATCTTGATTTAGTGTTTTAATAAAAAAGGAACCTAAAATTATTTGAAATGGATCTCAGACATACCTACAAATATGGGTACTATTTTTATGCCCGTGTATTTTCACATTTAATAAAAATATTTATGGTCATATTATTTATGGTCATATTCTTCTTTTGATTCAATGTTTAGTCATTTTTGAATATAAAAGTTCTAAGAAAGTCCATCTTAGAAATCTATTTCCAAACTTACTTCACGTGAAGTAAAACCAGTGATAGACTCTCTTGTATGAGCTGAGCAGGAAGGTCAGAGCACAAAGGCAAGAATGACTAGAATCTTATAACTTTCAAGTCCTAAGTACACATCAACAGGATAACCTATAGATAGCAGAAAAAAGAAAATTCTTCCATTTTCATATTAAAACTAACACTCAAATAGCTTTGAAGACCTTCCCTTTTACTCTATTTACTTGTGTTGTCCTGAGAGATATGCTTCAGCCTATCTCAAATTTCTACCAACAAAGGTAGCTTTTCTTCTTGGTTATATATTCTGCATATCCTAAGATGTAAGGGAGAATTAGAACATTTAAATTTGTATAGAAATTCTTGTGAAGCTCAGTTTCCTTACTTAATAATCCTCATGGCATCCTGTCAACATATGAGCAGTCAGCCTTGTGTAAGGATGAGGTAAATGAGAGCAGCAGGCATGCGGTCTGCCTAAAATCAGACTGGGGAGGAACAGATTCTCTTTCCAGAGCTTCTGGCTCCATTCCCTCCCTTTCTTGGCCTGGGTCAGGCTTCATGAACATTAAAAAAGAAACCCAATTACTCTAGTCTTAAGGCACACATTTCACACCCAGGAGGCCCTTAACCTTTTTTCAGCTAGCAAATCCTCCCTCTGGAATGGGGGTGTAACAGATGATAGAGCCATAAACGTGTGTGGATTCTATGACCAGCACACTTTCTAGTGAGAGTGCTCAAGTTCCAGCATCTGTTCTCAACACACTTGTACCCTTCACTCAGGTCTGTTTTTTGACCAGGGTCAGTCTCCTGGGATAAGATACTCCCAGGGAATGAGCAGTCCTGTCTTGGAAAGGCCACCAGCAATGTTAGTGCCTCAGGTATTTCTGAGAAAATAAAAATCAAACATTTTTACAAAGCACGAGAGACTTCAACCATATTTTGGTATTTGGATATTTCCTTGAGCACAGGTATACCATTTACAGTTAAAAAGATTTTTCCTCCCTTACACTGGTTTCTCTAAAAGGATGTTATTTTTGTCTCCCGAGTGAAGGGTGTAGTTGTCTTAGGATTTTATGAGTACTCCTCTTCACATACACCACCTGTTGCAATGTTTCATTCCCTGCAACTTGAGTGTCTTTGTAACCAAGTTATCAAAGCCTCACAGAAGCAGAAAGACTGCATTCTCCAGCCGTACAGCTCCCAGCTCTCCCAAATTTTAAATTAAACAAGATTGATTTGGACCCTTTATCATTCAAAGAACATTTTGGTTTTGAGCCATTCTTTTAAAATATGAGTAATTTTCAATTCTAATAAAACCCTCTAACTTCTAAAGTAGAAGACGTCAGGAAGCATACCAACTCTGTACTATTAGACACGTCAGATCTATATGATCAAAATAAATTCAAGTAAGAACTATAGAGGGTAAGATTGGCAAATTTGAATTTTTTACAAGGTTGTTAATAGTAAGTT